AGGATGGACTGGCAAACGACTACAGGGGCATAAATAAGTAGAGCAGTACTTGTACGCAGCTGCGTTCAACGCATCATGCAAGAGACTCATGAGTAATCCTTTTGGAACCACTCGTAGTGGTGCCACTAGTTTGTCTGCGCCTCGGACTACTTAAATCGATCCTTTCAATCACGATAGTTTTCCGTTCTTCCCTGGCTCACCTACACCAGAGTCGCCACCCCTGAGTGAGCTATTCGCTAAAAACCCACTATACAAGGGCCCAGATGACCACAGTGGGCCGCGCGCCCTCCAAAATTGAACTCCTAGAGCTCTATAAGCTCTTATTTCTTGTTCAGAAAATACGTGTAAAATACTCACCGGGTTCATGCAATATGAAGTTGTTTTTCAGATAATTTGTAAGCTGATCGACATAGGAGAACGTTTTTGGGTGAGTGGCAGAACGCAGCAGCTGGGAGATTCGTTGGTTAGGCCCAGGTGAAGTTCTGAAAGCGCTGAATATACCAGTAAACAGACAATAGCTTTGGGTGACGGAAACGTTATCCGTGTGGCGGCAGAACCGCACTGCAAGGTCAACATCTAAAAAAGCTAACGGTGCAACCTTCATTTAGTTCATTGAAGTGAGTTCATTTTACGAGCTAAACGATTAATGAAAGGCATCGCTTGGCCGCTTTCCAACCCCAGTAGTCCTCCACAGCTTTGTTTCCTGCTCTTGAACGGGAACCACAGCGCGGCACGATTCTGGTTGTCTGCGCTCTGCTAAGACCAAGTCTTGGGCAGGGGAATTGAGAAGGCTAGCAAGACACCCATCCACGCGACGCGTATGAGAGCGATGTAGCGCGTGGCAACGGTTAGTGGCGCCTCCTGTGCTCAGGGAAGCAGTGGAATTCCACGTCCATGCATATATCATGCATCGCGACCATATCTTGAGTGTTGCCTTCATAGATGCTACCTCGAATGGGGTATGTGACGAGATAATCGCCGCGCAGCTAAAATAGATCAGCGATGTCGCCTAGCGCAAAGGGCAATGGATAGCTTTTTTTCAACAGCGATAAGACGTTCTGATGGCAATTTTTTC